ATCTACCATTAATTAATGGCTGTGAAAATTACTTCTGAGAGTAATGAAGCAATAAAACTAGTATTGTCAACAAGTACATTGCAAATCCAAATGTGTAATAAATACAGACTTAATATGTAAAATTATATATTTATGTGTGTGACTTAGTTTTCCGTGTAAAAATAACACACTATAGTGCATAAAAAAATAAATTTATACATTTAAATATGTGATTTTTACGTTTCGCTGTGTATAACATGACATGTAATATTAAATGTGGAAGTATGTATCCAAATAATTCAAATGTGTATGAAGTACACGTATAAAATAACTTTACATATTTAGCTCTTCTTACACATGAGTTTCACGTGTAATGATGAAAAAATGTGTATCAGATTAAAAAGGAAGTTCTTAGCGGTTTTTGATGAAAAATAGCGCAAAAATATGGATTATGTCTTTAAACTTATATTAATTATTTATAATATAATATTCTATGTAATTATAAAATACCGAATATTTTTATTAGTTACATGAACTTAAGTTTACAATATAAGTTTATTATTATAAATGTTTACATTTAAATTTCTTATTATATATTTATGTATACATAATATATGTATGTATCCGACTGTCTATGTATAACACAAATTAAATTGAGGGAAGGCCAATACGGTCATAACGGAAACTTGTTGCTTCTAATATTTCATATGTTTTTTACATACATGTTCTAGTCTCAACCAAACTGTGTGCCGTTACTTTTTTGGATTCAACACAGCTTTTTACTTAAAACGAAACATTATTATTTCGATTATTAAATTGATAATAAATTTAATAAATATACTAATTATTATTTGCATCTAATAAATTCCCCCACGATTCAATATAAAAATTATTTGCTGCAAAAAATATTACTTCAGCCCGGATTTGAACGTGGAACTTGTAAGTAAGCATCAGTATTTATTAAACTGATTATCAATTTAATAATCGTGATAATACAATTCTGTTTCATGTAAAGAGCTGTGGTGAATTCTAAAGTAGCGGCACACAGTTTGTTGAGACTAGAATAAGTATGTAAAATCACATAGAAATATCAGAAGTACCAAGTTCCTGCTATGACCATATTGGCCTTCTCTCAATTTAATTTGTATTATACATTTAGTTTTACATTTATTTTAGAATTACATTTGAAAAAGAGAGAAAAAATATTTCATAAAATTATTAATGAATCTGAATGGCTGAACTGCCAAATGATGCAATCGTCAAAAGTAACAGAGCATGCATGGCATCACATATTATTGTAAAAGTATAATTTTATTGGAATGTTATAAAGATGGTTTAGAGGTTTTTTGAGAAGAGGATAAAATATTTATTTTTTATAAAGATATTTTATTAGTTATCTCAACATTACAAACTGAATACTTTGAATTTACAATAAATTCATATTAATTTTATTCATACTAGCATTACAGACGCGCGCTTTGCGCGCGCTATTTAATTGGACTTTTACTTTTGACTATAATTGACTATAATTATACATCAACCTCAATACATACAACTGTCAAAATTCAATGTAATGACAGCCGCTCACGAAGTTAGCGCAGCAACAGAATCAATCAGCGTCGCGGAAAAGAGTCAATAATCAGCCTCTTCAGCACAATCGAATGGGACTTGCGTAGAAATTATCTTCTGTTTAGTCGCTAATTAATCACGCAAATCCCGAGTTTTTTCACTGCAGCCGTTTCGGAAA